TTTCGTACATTTTCGACTCGAGAAAGAATGAGCACTAGCTTCGATGCGAAAATTATTTGACCCTCAATCTTGGCAATATTGAGACACTTCTGTACTTGTGGTAATTTGTGATCCAAAAACGAACGAAGAAAACTGGGTTTTCGAGCTTCTAGTCAAATTTCTTTTTATCCGTTTCTTTTATTGGTTTACTGGAATTGAAAAATACACGTGCTTGACGCTTTGATAAATGTTTGAGCGTCGACTTTCGGACAGTGGGAGGAGAAACCCTATCAGCCTCATTTTGATTCGAGACGCTCAGCCGTACCTGGCACAAACCACATCCCGGCTTCGGGTTCTTAGGAGCGGAATCAGCTACTGGGATCTGTACTAGTGACCTTATCTTCATGCAAAACGTACAGCGAGAGGTATCGTCATTCACTTTCATTTGTAGAAACGCAAATACAAAGTGTGCTTCAAGCTCGTAGGAACACGAACATAAACACATTTTACAGTGCTTTTTATGCACTTTCAAGCATGCTGCTATATTTGAATGTTCTTGAACGCCATTTTTATGACAGGTTGTTATGGGTTTCGGATTTCTATCCATCATGTAGTTTGTGTTTCTGGAAACACAAACCACATCCTTGGTTCGTGTTCCTAGAAACGGAACCAGAAACTGACACCCTAGTTGTAATTATTGGGTGTGGGTGTGGGAGTGAGGTGTGGGTATGGATGAAGTTTAAAATAAGACCCACACCCATACCCACCCTACTACTTTCTCTAAATAACCTCAGCTCATATTTCTGTTGCCAATTTATAAATCTTCCGCTCACTTAGGACTATTTCAGCTTACGAAGAGAAATTGAAGTTCACAGAAGAGGGTGTGGGTGAACGAATAAAGTGTAGCCAAACACGCCACAATGAATTAATCCAAGTATTTCCTCTAGACTATTAATTTCAAGATTACGCGTGCAAATTGTAGGACGAGAGAAAAATAGTATCAAGGCCAGAATGGATACGATTAGAACGCCGAGTATGATTATATCAGTACTGGTTTATTTTTCTCGATAACACAACGATTCGTTATATCTTATAAAGTGCAACTGCTCGTTCCCACCACCATGCATCAAATATTCAAACGAGTCCGATTGCCTCTCTATTTTTACTACCTACGCAAAAAAAGATCGCCTTCTGATACTCTATGCCAATTGCACTTTTTTAAGTGACAAATAAAGGGTTTGCGTGTCGAATAAAGTAAGATTGTTGAAATGCGCCGTTGAGTATATAATGCACAGTCTTCTATTGATAACAGGATACGAAGTGCGTTCGTTATCGAATGATTCGGATACGTAAATCTCCTAGTGTGCATAGTGACAGTCAGATATTTTCATTCATTCGATGCATTATTCTTTTGCGGTCATTTTTTCGAAGTGAAAACTGATGAAGCTATCGTAATCAAATATTCTTTTCTTTATCGTAGAGGAATTGCAACTCTCGTCATCAGTACCCATGTCTCGCATGATTTTATTTCTCTGTATGCTATTGGGCGTGTCGTTGACGACGGCTGCTACCATTGAACGAGCAGGTATAATGCAAAAGAGCTTGGATACTGGAGATAAGAAATGAGAATCGTTTTAGCGGCGTCTGTTGTACCTCCATCCATCTGCTACGATGATCTTGGTTGTTTCTCACCACGACCTGGTTTCAAACTCTTACCTCAATCCCCAGAAAAGATCAATACACAATTCTTTCTCTTTACAAGGTGAGTAGCGTGCACTATCGAGGAGAAGAAGACGTCCATGTTTCTTCCTTTCATCGGAGTAGAAAGCAACCCACTCAACCAAAGCCCATCTCCTCCTCAAATTTGGGTTCATTCGATCCTGCGAAACAAATCAAATTGATCATCCACGGTTTTACCGATCGAGCATCGAATTCTTGGGTGATCAACATGACAAGAGAACTATTAAAACTGGTCTGTTGCCAGTTTCTTTATAAAAAAATTCACTTTTTAGAGGCAATTTATAGGAAGACATGAATGTGATTACTGTTGACTGGTCCGGTGGCAATCAGTTTCCATATGGTCAAGCCGTGGCCAATACTGTAATGGTGGCCGCTATTATTCGACAGCTTCTTCAAGCAATGATCAATGTCGGTGCACAACCACAACAAATGCACTTGATCGGTCATAGTTTGGGCGCACATATATCGAGTTATGTGGGACGACATTTACCTAATTTGGGACGTATCTCTGGCTTGGGTATATTCATATCAGAAATTATAGACCATTCGAGTTTTTTTTTTCTGAGTATAGATCCTGCCGGACCTGATTTCTACGTTTCTCTAATTCCCGACCGTCTCGATCCCTCCGATGCTCTGTTTGTGGATGTGATTCACACGGATGGTGCACCTCGTATACACTCAGGTTTCGGTCACTTGGAGCCATTGGGACATGTAGATTTCTATCCCAATGGTGGTTCTGCCCAGCCCAGTGAGTTTCTATAAATTCATTGACAACATGGAGCTTCCCCTTTTTTCTTTCATATAGCTTGTGGTAGCAATACCGGTGCCGTCTTACTACAATCGGCGTGGAGTTTAATCAGTACTTTTAACGTGGCAAGTGAGTGGAACTCTCTTGCAGCTTCACTTAAACTGCTCATCTGTGGACTTTAGATGCTGCCGATACGCTTGCTTGCAATCATATGTCAGCAGTGTACTATTATACTGATTCAATCAATACACCTTCACCGGCCTTTGCTTATCCATGTTCGGACTATAAAAGTTTTGAGCAAGGCTTGTGCACATCTTGTGGTTCGACTCCCGATCGATGCCAACGAACCGGCTATCATGCTTCACCCTCAAGAGCACTTGGTACATTGTATCTCATGACATTGCACGACGTCAAGCCGCCTCATTTCGGTCTGCAATCATGTCAATAGAGAGAGAGAGCGAAGAAAGAGAACGATCGAAGTTTCATTTTTCTAGGCTTTCACTTTAGAGTTACACTTGAATCGGACATGAACCACAATGAACAGCAAACACGAGGCATCATCAAAATCAAATTCGATGAACAAGAAGAGGACGTATCATTGTTCGAGTATGAGAGTATATACACGCGTGTTCAAATAAATCCATTTGTTCTATTCAGTCAAAATACACTGCTCAAACGTGGCTCTATCAATTCGAAAACGATTCTCATTGTCAACAAGCCTACGGCACTGAAAAAGATCACCATCTCATTCAAAAAAAGTCTAGGTTTTAGTTTCGGCATTGGTCTCGCCGATCAATGGAATTTTCGTTCTGTCACTGTGCTCGATATGCAATCCCATTTCAGGTTAGTCATCCATTGACAAATTAGTAGATAACATGCTGCCGTTTTTTTTTTATCCAGTTACAAATTTTGTCCGACATCGAATTCACCGACGATCAAGAGCGGCTCGAATCTGACGTACAAATCATGTTGAAGTTTCAATCTGATTCTTTCTTTATCTAGCGAGAAATAAATACGATGACATTTGAACGAGCAAAAACATTTGTTCAGCTTCTGTGTATGACTCCAATGTTCTGTGCGCTTCGAATATACAAAGTTCAAAAGGGTGTGGGTGTGGGTGGGTGTGGGTGTAGGTGTGGGGGTGGTTGTGGGTGTTGGTGTGGGTGTGAGGTGTGTGGGGATGGTTGTGGGTGTGGGGTGTGTGGATATGGATGTGAGGTGTGTGGGGATGGTTGTGGGTGTGGAAGTATGGGGTGTGGATGTGGGAGTGTGGGGTGTGTGTGTGGGGTGCGTGGATGTGGGTGTGGGTGTGGGAGTGTGGGGTGTGGGTGTGAGAATTACCTTCACTCACCCACGCCACCCACATCCACACCCATACCCACACCCACACCCACACCCACCCACACCCACACCCACACACCCACCCACACCCACACCCACACCCACACCCCATACCCACACCCACATGAGAGAAGAGAACTTAGTTTATATCTCAAGTCAATGATTGCATAAATTTATTAGTTCCTTTTTAAAAAAATAAAATTTAAATCAAAATCAAAATAATATATATAGATAGATAGATAGATAACGGCATTATAAAAGTTTTACAATAGATAATTGATTTATTAAGTTTGTGATATAGTGGCTAATCGCTGAAAAATTCCTCCTTCTCTATTTATGAGTTCATCATATGTGCCTTTTTCACATATTTGTCCATAATTAACAACTGCTATTTGAGCCGTTGACATATTATTAGCAATAGTTGATAAGCGATGTGTAAGAGTGAAACATGTCGGCATCGGATTAAGACCATTAATAGCATTTTGAATAATCTAGATGTATAAAGAAAAAGAAAAATTAACTAAAATATATAATAAATAGTTACGTCAGCTGAATTAGCATCAAGTGCTGCTGTTGGTTCATCCAATAGTAAAATTTTTGGTTCTCGAATAAATGCTCGAGCCAATGCAATACGTTGTTTTTCTCCAACAGACAACTTTAAACTATCTTTACTACCACAAATTGTTTTATAACCCTAAAATGATATTTCTATTTATTTTACATTGGATTATTCATAAGAGATGCATTCTTCTTCTAATGATTTGATGATATGATGAACATTTGCTTTTCTAGCTGCTTCTTCTATTTTTTCTTGAGATATTTCACCTTCTAGTCCATAACAAATATTTTCTTGTATTGATATATTAAATAGAATTGGTTCTTGTTCAACATATGAACATTGTGAACGTAACCAGCGAAGATTTAAATTTTCTATGCTATTATCGTCTAAAAGTATATGTCCACTAGTTGGAAAATAAAAGCGTTCAAATAATGAGATCAATGTTGATTTTCCTGAACCAGATCGTCCTACTAGAGCAATCATTTCGTTTTTATTGCATTTTAAATTGATATTTTTCAATACATATATATCGTTTGTATATTTAAAGGAAATATTTTTAAATTCAATTTTTCCTATCAGTTTCGGCTAAAATTTAACAAAATAAAAACCAGTTTAATTAGGTATTTATAAATATCATAAACGTACAAGTATAAGCCCATCGCAACTTTCTGGATCAATTCGAGATTTTTGTTTATTTAATTTTAATATTTTTGATGCAGCTTTTTTTGCTTTACTAAAACTTGGTACTAAAGCAACAGTTCGACCGATTGATGTTGCAGCAAGTGTAACGACCGAAAATATTCTAAAATAGATGTTTTCTTGTTTTATATATAGGAAAAAGTATCGATCCTGCAGAGTTCTCATTTTTACTATTGAAAAAAACCTAATGATTACTAGATCATAGAATTATATTTTTAAAATTCCGCTAAGAATTTATCGATTGGCATTCTTGAAATAATAAAACGTGTGAAAATGTTTTCAATAAATATACCTGAAAACATCAACAAATGATATTTGTTTTTGTTTCACTAGATGAGAACCGTAACTGAATGCAGCTGCATGAATAAAAAACATAATAGAATTTGCAATTGCATTCCCAAACGCAATCATTAGTATTTTGTATATTGATTCTCTATGAAAAGAAATTAAGATTTAATGAATAAATTTCGAATTAATAAATCCTACCGAAATTCTTGATTGAATTCTTGTTCACATTTATTAATGAAAACATCTTCTTTACTGAATGATTGAACAGTACGAAAATTATCGATTGCTTGTGAGATACACTTTTTAACAAAAAGAGAAAAATAATTATTTCTTTTTACAAAAAAAAATGCAACAAATCTTTTATCTAAATGATATGAAAATCATATGTTGCATTGAAGATGATAAACAATAATTGTCAATATTCTATTATTTAGATTTGAAAAAAAATCAGATATAATATTTATGGCAGTTGTGTTTTACTACAGAAATTCTTCATAGAGTTCTCATTTGATTATGATGGTATGTCTCAAAAAACTTTTGATCAGTTAAAGAGATATTCTCTTCGTAAGTGCTAATTTAAAATAAGATTCGATTTTTCATCTATTTTTTCTAAATTACATAAAAACCTGACAGAGAGCTTACTTCTATGTTTCAGAAAGTCTTTCTATAACGGTTTAACTAATCTAAAAGTTCATAGATCAAGAAGACGAAGTTGTTTCTTTTATGTCGGTTATGTCAAAACGTTGTTCTACATATGCTCCTTAATAAAATATTGTTTAGTCGTTAAAATCAGTAGCTTAAATAATCTTAGACCGTCTCAAACACTTTGAAATTTTAAAATCCTAATCTTTTGAAAGAACTGAAATTTCTACAAAGTCGAAACATATTCAAATCGTTTCGACTATAGACTCTGTAATTCAATTGATAAGAGAGCTCAGGTTTCAATTGAACGTTCTATTCTTATTTATTCTCCTAAAAATCAGATTTCCAATTCCAAACGACAATATCTAATTCGGTAGACAATAAATAAACGTAGGATATTTGTTTGCAGGTTGGTTTCTATACATTACAAATGTCAACGAGTTTATTCACTTAAATATTAGCATAGCCGATAATAATGAAAATGTTGTAGAAGAATTATTGATGATTTTCTACACGAGAACTAAGTGACCAAAGATAATAATTTTAGACAAAAGCTGTTAATATGTCTATATGAAAATCATTAAAAAAAATAATATGAATTCGCTCCACAAAGTAAGAAATACACATAAGAACCTATGAGTTTCTTCCTGAAAAGCTATGACCATTCCTATATCTGCGGAAGAAGTTATATCTAACGATAATTGCGTACGATAAAGATAGAGATTACGCATAATTTGTGTATTCATATGGTTTCTGTAAAGAGAACTACAAATTGAAAATTTTTGATAAGTAGTAACTCAGCCATCTTTAACCACTTATTTGCTGCATTGTTATTGACAAAGAGAAAGTTCCGGTACTCTTAGATTTAATAGAAAAATTCTCTAAAATATATGATGTAATTAAAATTAAAGATGAAAAGACTATAAAAAACATCGAACCATTTGAGAAAATTTTCATACAGCAAACCTTGTTGTTAGTTTTACCATTAAAGACAACTTCTTTTTAATGAATGTGTGTACAATGATATTTAGACATATATGGATAGAAGATGAGACAATAGATTTTGTGTGCACTTGACAAAGTACGAAAACATTTCTCATGTTGTACTCAAAATATTTCATACTGAACACAGTAAACATCCTAGCGATTAATATTCATAAAGAAAAATTTTTCTAACATTTTTTAAAGATTTTACACATCAAATTTCGCCTACCATAAATTTTATTGAACATTTTTCTCTGTTTATTATGAAAAAAACTGTGCCATCAGTAAATTTTTATATAGTATTTCATCAAGAAATATGCACGTGTGAAAATATTTATTTTTTATGAGATTCTACTATCCAATATGGAAGAGGAGTTGATTCTTATTTTAAAATCAGCTATTTCAGAAAAGAATTTCTCGATTATCATTATGCATGTAAATTACAGTCTTGAAAAGTCTTTATTGTGTTAGCTTTTTTATGAAGACATGTCGTGTCCATAGTTCAATACAACAATATAGTCATAATTTCCTTGATCAGACAATAATGAGACTACTTGCTCCTAGTCCTTGAATCTTTTTACCTTATTTCCTTCTTGTGCATGAGAAGTTGTTTTGAGTTTGACTTTATTTTTATTTCCTATATTTGTTGAAAATTGTTGTCCTTGAAAGAAAAATAAATATCATATGACATGAAACATTTAGAATAAAAAATTACCTTGTAGAAAAATACTCATAAGAATAATCACTGGTGCAAAACATAATATAATAAGTGTCAATTGCCAATGAATACGAATAGCAATAACCAAAGCAGTTACAATAGTGCCAATGGCATTAAAAAATATTCCAATATTCATTCCATTAAGACTCTTAAGTGCATTACTATCTGTATATAAATTATTGATTAATGTAAAACTATTGTTCTCTTTTTGATCGAACCAAGCAATTTCTTGTTTTAGTATTGCTTTAAAACTCATCAGTCGTATTTTTGATGTTAGTTCTTCACCAGATTTCGAAAATGATGATGTAAAACTCATTTGGCAAATGCCACCAAGAACACCAATAAAAAAAATGATTATTGCATAATTTCTTGCTTGAACTTCTTGTTTCTGATAGTCTTGTTCTACAAATAATGCGTAAAGTTCACTGAATATTAAAGCAAAAGCTGGTGTTATTGCTCCATAAATTAATGATGCTATGCATCCCAAACATAGATAGAACCATTCCGAACGATTTAATTTTAATATTTCTATCAAAAACATTGCTAATTTACTATTATTATTAGTTATAGATATTTGTTGTACGTCAGTTGACTGTTCTGTTCTTTCGTTATTATTTTCATTAGTATCTGTTGGAATTATTGTTGATTTTTCTAGAATTTTGAAGTAAATTTGTTTTATTGTTTAGATAAGAAATTTTATTACCTTCTTTTGTCAACGCTGGAGCGATAGGATTTTGTTGTGTCATATAGAAATGTCTATATAAACCATCGTGTGCCATTAATTCTGCATGCGTACCTTGTTCAACAATACCCTGTCCATGTTTCATACAAACAATATTATCAGCCTGTTGGACAGTAGACAGTCGATGAGCAATTACCACAATAGTCAATCCCATTGTTATTTTGATGTTGTTCAATGCTCTTATCATTTCTTGTTCATTTTGGTTATCTAAGCGTCAAAGATCATGCAATATAATGAGACTTTAGTTCTTGGACGATCAATGTAGATACTTTCGGAAAACCTCTCATAAATTATCCTGACATGACTAAGATATCCTATACAGTAGAACAGAATTGATGCTGTTTTTTTTATAGCTCTTAGAACTTTGAAAGGTATCTATATATTGTATAGTTACTGAAAACATTTCTTTTTCATTAACAAGACTAATGATTCACAAAAGAGTTTGAAAAAGCCGATTTGATAAACAAGGAATAGGTATGTCAGAGTCAGTAATCTAGCTCAATTCTTCAATGAAAAAGAGATCGGTTGTCTCTAGATATGTGATCAAGGGAGAAGCATGAATCTGTGATTTTGTGATCTAAAATGATTTTAAATGATTTCATTTTAATTTTCCGATGGTTCAAATTATCCGTTTCCCTCTTATATGTGATAGCGCCAGCTCAGTTCGTAAATCTGAAGCTGATAACTAGGGATCAACCAGCTCTGTCCATGAATTCTATTCATTTGAACTGAATTTTAAATTAAAATTATCCTACGAGAATACTCATAGATCTTCCAAGGCTATCCTATGGCCGCACTATGGGAGTGTTCAAGTTCTACTATACGAAATATCTTGAGCTTTTCCAATCCTACTATTGAGCAGTACTATTAAGTCTTCACGTCCAACTGTAAGGAATATCCTTGAGTTATCAAGTACTACTATCCAGGGATGCCCTTCAAGCTGTAATATTCATAAGTACCTTCGGATCCTCAACAACCACTTCCGGTATACTAACTAATTCACCTGTGCACTTTGTTTTCCTTTACACATTACTCGAAGCCCTAAATACACACATCACATTAGGTAGAATGTTCTGAAAAATCCAACGATCTGAGAACGTAACTTCAGATTGTCACGATAATATGAACGCAAACTCTTTCTGCAATTTCATTCTTTCAATTTTCGATCAATCGAGTTTCAGAAGGCTTTTTCTTTTTTATTGAATGGTCAAACACTAGTCATGTCTGGGTTGATCCCAGAATTATCGAGAACAAAGCTACCGAATGAAGATATATGCGTAGAGCTGCGTCCTTTCTATCACCAGCAAACAGAAATTTCCGACCTGATTCGTGAAAAAATAGATCAATCAGATTTCAGGAGGTCTTCTTCTTTTATTCAACGGGCAAATATTAGTCATGTTTAGACTAATCCTACAGTTATTGTGGAAGCTCTATCAAAGGACGAGATATATATGTGAGACTTGGTCTTCTATCTTTGAGAAATAGAATCTCCCAATATAATTTGTCGCTGGATAAAGAGGTAAATTTTAGAGTACCTTTTTTCCGCATTATGACGGCCATCACTAGTATAGGAGGACACGGTAACCCTATAGTACCACCTGCAGTGACTGTTGAAGCCGTTGACAAGGTTCAGTTCTTTTGAAACCAACTATTTGAAAAAGCTCAGTTCGCTCAAAAGAACTGTTCGAGTAGTTCAGTTTGTGTCAGTGAGTGCTTTGCATGGTTCATGAATTCTGAATTAAAACCAAGCTTGTCGAGATCTAGTTATAGATAACTGCCCTAGATACTTCTTACAAAGTTGGAATGACTAAGCCTTAGTTACTCTTTTTCAATGCATTAGAGCTAGTGATCAGTTCTAGCTTCCGTGAATCAGATCTGCTAACCAGCTGTTTGATTCAGCTTTCGCAAACTATAGGGCTGAAATTGTCACACATTTAGTTGTATTAAATTTTCTCGAAGAATTTTACTTTTGGATGACTAGATAAGAATGAACTGTTTCATCTCTCTATCTATGAAGATATCTAATCTTCGTAGAGAATTTCTTCCGGATTTCGCAACAATACTGAATAAATCCCTTGAATTTTGATATAGTCGTTATTTTTATTTAACTAAATTTTCTAATGGTAATTATTGATTTTCCTCATCAAAATATATGTTTTTCTTTTGTGTGAAATTTTTTTATAGAAAAGATTCTAGATTATGATGGCAACGTAAAAATAAGTGTTAATCAGTCTTTGAAAGATAGTCTATCACCGTTTTTCGGGATTATATTGTTTAAGAAGTGAATTGAGATGAAAATGCAAAGGAATGTATAGGAATAACAATGACTAAAACTTGTCAGAGAGAAACATGAAAGAACGATGAAATGAAATTTAGCTCTTTCAATGTTATTTCATTGAAATAATGTAGTAATCGATTTCTATCAGTAATTATTTTACATAATATGTGAGCATTTTGTGCCATATTTGCATTAGTGATTGATTAGAATTTCTTGTTTTTGGTGAGTATCTTAGTAAGATTCATAGATATTTAATGATACTGCTTACCTAAAGCTGATGTTGCTTCATCTAACAATAATATTTTTGCTTTGGAGACAAGAGCTCGTGCAACAGCTACACGCTGCTTCTGTCCTCCACTTAAGGGTTCCTTCGATTTAAATTTCTACGAATAAAGTAGATGATTGATATTAAGTGATGATTTTCCTTAGATATTTTTTTTGGTTACCTCTGGAAGTTTTTGAATAAAATCGTAAGCTATTGCTATTCTACAGGCTTCTTCCATATCTTTATCTGTGGCATTTGGATTTCCAAATTTTATATTTTCTTCTATTGTATCTAAAAACAGCTGTGGTTCTTGATCAACGAGAGCAATATTTGATCGATATGTTTTTAAATTTAATGTCTTGACATCGTCATTGCCAAATAAAGTCTAAAGATAAATCAAATATGTCTTTGCCATCAAAATAACTAATTCCGATGTAGTCTATCAAAAGTTTCGTTTAGAATCACTATGAATGATTTTGCTACTATCAGATATACGGTTCACGATATTAAAATGAGCAATTCGAATGATAGTATAGTATAGAGAATTCAATGATTTATCATTTTACTTTTGCTATATAGTTATGAAGACATGAGCTTCACTTAATTAAAAACTTGCATGAATCTTTAAACAAAAACAAAAATCAAGTTTTTTCTATTTAAGTAAACTTAACGTTTTTAATCTAAAGACATTCTCTTAGAAACGCTAATGATGACTATGCGACTTTGAATAGTGCTATGATTGTTAAAATAAGATTTTTAATATCTGAAATTATGCTTCTAAGGCATCTGTAAAATAGATACTTTAAAATGTCCAGTCAAATTGAAAACAAAAGACATTATTCTCCTATATGCATTTGTTAGGTCTTTATGTAAGATGTTAATATGTACTGATCGAAATGTACTTAACTTTTATTCTATTTAACCAGGTTCGAATATCCTTATATATATATATCGAACAGAAAACACATATATATAAGAGAACGAAAGAAAACAAAGATAACAAATGAAAATCATAGAACGATGGAAGAGATCAAAGAGGAGGAATATACTAGAGAAATATGTATAGGTGCGACATCACCGTAACATTCTCCCCATTGAACGAAAAAGGTGTACTATCAGTTTTTTTTTTTTTTTTAAACAGTAACAACATGACTAATATAACGAAATGAACGAAATGTTATATATGAAATAATGACAAAGTAATTTAACGGTTTTTTCAAAAATGAAAAGAAAACAATAGAACAAAAATCACAGTTTTTTTTTTAAATGAGATCAACAAGTTGTATGATATGTAAAGATAAGGAACAATGAAAGACAAAATGATAGTTTAGTATCTGAACAAAACAAAAACGAAACAAAAATATAAGATTGAGGTTAGTTGTTGATTTATTTATTGATTTTTTGTGTTTTGTTTATATATCATTTCGATCTCCTTGTTCGATCATCTTTATAAGATGATCTATTTCGTTGACTAGATATAAATTCATAAAAATGAGATGTTGTAAATAAATGTTTTATACGATTGTGATAATGATCAATTTGTGATGAATCTCGTATGCCGATGTGTAATGATCGTTGTCTTGTTGTCGATGATGTTGAAAAATTAACGGCAAAGAATGGAACGTCGTAAGATCGAATAATAGCTTTTATTTGTTTGATTTTAAAACGACGGTCAATATTATTAATTATAATTGTATTTTGATAATAACGTTTTCTTTGTTTCAGTGTACATGAACGATTGTGTATTCGTTTACGTTCTTCTTCCGATAATAAGTTGTATTGTTGAGGTTCACGTTCAGGTTCTGATTCATCTGATGAAATCTGTTCAGCATCAATGATTGTTGGTTGTTGTTCAATTATATTTTCTTCAATTGATGTAATTAATGTAACTGTTGATTGTTGTGGATTGTTGATTAAGTTCAATTTAAGTAATAATTGATAAATTGATAAACAATCATATATAGCGTAACGAGTAAGTTGTGTACGATGTTCGATTTCATTCGTATTAAAATGATATAATTGTGGATCAAGACCGATATCAAAACTTGAACGAGTAAAACGTTTATCTAACCATTGATGAAGTTCATATGCGACGGCATTTTGTAAAGACCATGTATCAGTTGGATTAATGCCTAAGCATGATTCACATTGACATGGTAATTCATTTGTTGAACGTTGAGATCGTGTTTGATGAGGATGTTTCTTGGTCCAATAATCTTTAAATTCATCTTGAAAATTATTATTATTTGATAGTTTAATTTGATCAAGAGTAAATAGTCCAGTTGTAGTAAAATCATTTAATTCATCAATTTCTCCCCAAATATAAATTGTTTTTCCTGAAGAAAACAATGTTGTAAAAAATTGTTTAATAAGTTGGAATGTTGTTTCATGAATAGGTGGTAAATGACAAACTTCAATGATCAATACATAAGAAATCGAAGTTGGTAATATGATTTGAATCTGAATAAGTGCGGGTTTGTTTGGACCTCGATAAATACCAACTGATTCTGTATCCAAAATAAAATTTGTTGAAGCTGCACAAGCTTCAATAAGATGAAGAAGTGTTAAATCAGTTGTTTGAAAATTTATAAAAAATTGTTGGAAATTTAGTGGTGTAAATGTTGGATATGTTGATGCTAATTCATGTTCGTGTATTTTTTTTCGGAGTGTTGTTCGAAGATTTTGTCGTGGACGTCCTTTAATTGTTGATGGAATATTCTTTAATTGCCATTTAAGCTTTTCGTACTCTCGTTGTGATAACATGACTAGAATAGAAAGTTAAATTGTAATTATATTAAATAGCGATTCATTAAAAAATGAATCTAAGGTGTGAAAAATTCGATTCTCAAAGGGAAAAGAATCAGTGAAAACAAGTGATATAATTTTTTCATAAATATAATAATTTCAGGACAAATAAAAATAATGATGAATTATATATATATAATAGATGTAGTTATTTTATATCTCAATAGAATTGATGTACGAAAAAAGTTCTTCTCGATTCTCAGGGCCCATAAAGAGGATCTATGAAGATTGATTGAATGTTAAATACATTCAACAAATAAATTTTGTATCATAGAATAATTAATTGTATAAATTTAATCAGAATTAATAATTCCATTTAATGTTGAGATATAATTATGGTACGGATCTCATTGAAGAGGTCCTTAAAATCTAATAAATACGTTCAAATATTGGTAATAACACGTCTGATGTAACTTGACGATGTAAAGTTGGTTTCTTGACGTGTTGAAGAATGAATGTTTTTCGTGTCAATTGTTTGGTAATTCTAAATGGTCCTTCATAACGAATATCGAATTTGTGACGGGTGTTGAGTGTTTTAACAAGAACTAAATCGCCAATATTATATGAGGGATCAGAACGATGAATATCATAATGTTGTTTGTATCGAGCTTGATTCCTTAGAATATTTAATTTGGCTTGTTCATTTAATTTTGACAAAAAATTTTTGAGTTTGACGGTATGTTCAGCATCATATGATAATGTGACGTTATCGGCTTGATAATCGAAGGGTAATGTTGGTAATCGTCCGTACATCATTTGGAATGGTATTTGTTTTGTAGTTGAATGAATTGTAGCATTATAATTAAATGTAACAAATGGTAATTGATCATCCCAATCAGTTTTCTTAAAATTTGATAATGCTGCAATTTTTGCGTCCATAGTTGAATTATATCTTTCAACTTGACCATTAGTTTGAGGATGGTATGGTGTTGAATACAAGTGTGTGATACCAATTTGTTTACATAATTCATTCATCAACGTTGATGTAAAATGTGTTCCATTGTCAGTAAGAAGACATCGAGGTGTTCCAAATTTTGCGATAACGTCTTCTTTAAGAAATCTAACAGCTGTTTGAGCTGTATTATCACGTACAGCTTTGGTAACAACGAATTTGGATAAAACATCGGTAAGAGATATGATATATTTATTGCCGCGTTGAGATATTGGTGTAATAGGTCCATGAAAATCCATAGCTACTAATTGCCATACTCCATCAGGTGGTTGTATTGGTTGTAAAGTACCCGGAGTTTTTTGTCGACGAGGATTAAATTGTGCACATGGGATACATGATTTGATATAATTATTAATATCCTTGTACATTGATGGCCAAAAATAACGTTGTTTAATTTTATGTATTGTTTTATTTCTTCCAAAGTGAGCACCATTGGCTGCTGTATCATGATATATTTGTAAAATTGTCCGTCGAAAATCACCTTGTGGTACATATGGAACTGGAGTTTTAGATCGACGCATCAAGATATTGTCTTTTATAATATAATGTTTGTATTTCTTGATATTATTAAAAATATTTTTTGCATAAGTATCATTTTGTTGAGCTTGAATTAATTCTTCAATTGAAAATGGAGTAGTGCGATTCTCTTGAATAGAATTATGTAGAGAATCTGATGTTAATTTTGTTGTATTTGAAAGTTCATTTAAAGTGTTATTTCGTAATTTCATAGCACGAGTTTCAACAGCTGCGATGATGGATGAATGTTGGTTATCATATAAAATATCAGTTTGTGTTGATTTGGAATGAAGGTGTGTGGTTTCATCAGGATCTTCTTCAGCATCTTCAACAGGAGATCTTGATAAATAATCGGGCATAGAATTTGTTAAGCCTGGAATGTATTTCACCTTGAAATCATATTCTAAAATTTTTAATCTCCATCTCTCGCATCGTTTGTTAATTTGAGCTTTTTGGTTTAATTGTGTTAATGCTTTGTGATCAGTTTCCCAAGTAAATTGAATTCCACTTAAATAATTATGCCATTTATCTAATGCACATATAAATGCGTAACATTCTTGTTCCATTGGAGACCATTTGCGTTGTGCTTGTGTAAATTTCTTCGAAAGATATGCAATTGGTCTATCACCATCTGGATATATTTGTAATAATACTGCACCGATTCCCTCCTCCGAAGCATCTGTTTGAACCTTGAAAGGGAATCTATTGTTCGGTAATCGTAACACTAAGTCAGTTGTAAGAAATTGTTTAAGTTGTTCGAATGCTTTAAGTTCATCTTGTGTTAATGTAATCATTGTTTTTTGTCCTTTCTTTTGTTGAGTTCTTGTAGTTGGAACAAATTTCCTAAGTGGTTCAGCGATTTGAGAAAAATTGGGAATAAATTTGCGATAATATTCAGCTGCTTTAACAAATTTACAAGCTTCATCTGCAGTTTGTGGTAATCTGGTATTCAATAAACCATTAATATTATGAGAACTTGGACGAATTTCACCATTCTTTATATTGTGTCCAAGATAATCTGTTTCAGTTTGAGCAATTTCACATTTGTCTGGATTCAGACGAAATCGAGCATTTTTTAATATTGTACAAATATCATTAAGGTGTATTAAATGTTCTTCAAATGTTTTCGAAAAAATAATTACATCATCGATATATGCTAATGCATATTTCCATCTCGCAGGCCCTAATATATGATTTATTACACGTTGAAATGTTGCTGGTCCATTTGTAATTCCTTGGGGTAATACAGTAAATTGATAATGGTTGTCACGAGTTGAAAATGCAGTTTTAGGTCGGTCCTCTTTAGATAGAGGTACCTGGAAATAACCAGATTTAAAATCAAATTTTGTGTAATACATTGCATCGGATAATTGATCAAAAATTTCATCAATACGGGGTAATGGAAATGCATCTTTAATTGTAATAGTATTTAATCGTCGATAATCAATGCAAAATCGCATTGTTTTGTCTTTTTTCTTAACAAGAACAATAGGTGATGACCATGGAGAAGTTGATTCTTCAATTTGACCACGTTCTAATAATTTTTGTGTTTCTTGCAATTTAATATCTTGATCTTTTAAAGAAGACGAATATTGTTTTGAGTAAATAGGTGGATGATCACCTGTCTTGATTGCTGATTGTGGTGGAATGTTAATAATGGATGGTGTAGGATCGAATAGAATTTTATTATGCCATAATATATCTTCAATTTTCGAACGGTTTTTTTCATTTCCTATATGTTTTGTTAAATCGAATATTTTTTGACGAATTTCATCAGAGTAGCATTTTGCTCGTAAATGTTTTTGTAAATCATTACCAGATAAAAAATATTCATTGCAATTATCACAAATAATATCTAATTTTTCTTCTTCCGAGTTGTCATTTTTATGTGTGACAGCTCTACATTTTAATTTGGTTGAATTTCTGGATGTTGATTGATTATATTTATTGAAAGATGAATTTTGTTTTGTTGGACTTGATGTACTAAAACATATTGTGTAAGTTGAGGGACGAGAAAGAGTTCCGATTCGTGTATTTCTTGGTAATATTGTTTGTTGATTCTGAGCATTGATTAGTAATATTTTAGCTTTATGATTGTTGATATTTAATAATGTATGTGGTATAAAAATAAATTTTGAGGCATAGTTTGAATATGGTTCAAATATCAGATTATTATCATTGTTAATTTCACATGAAATATCAACTAATATTTGTGAGTATGGTGGAAGAGTAATTTGATCAATTAATAATGCTGGATAATTAATAGATGTAGGTGCTACGTATGAAATCGATATTAATTGATCATGTTGATCAGGAATAGTCAATTGTTGTTGATCACCAAATAGATGAACATGATTTGAATTAATCCAGTCATTACCTAATAATACAGATGTAATTAAATTTGTTGCCACATGAGCGATGACGTATGTTGTTGTTGATTTAAGTCTTAGTTCTAATTTAATTTGACCGATTATATTAAGTGGTGTTGAATTTGCTGTTTGACATATATAATTGTTATAAATAAAATTTTCATGATGAATAGTTTTGAGAAAATTTGCATGAATGATTGAGATGGCGGAGCCGGTATCAACAATTGCTTCAGTTGGTTGATTGTTAACACGAATCTTGATATAAACGGGAGAAGATGTTGTTGTTGATGGCTGAATACATTGACTGGGAACACCGCCATCATGTGACCCAGTTATTGAAAATGTGGAGACATTGTACAACTTCGGATGTGATGATTTTGACCACAATTAAAACATCCGGTTGTACGTTTGTAGTAACAATCATGCGATCGGTGATTTCTTCGACCACAGACTTTACAAGGATTATATTGTTGCTGTGAGGCTGGTTGATTATTGATATATTTATTTGTGAATATCTTTTCTTGTGAATGTTCGTCAGGTACATATGTTGATTGAAGTGCTGGTTGGTAGTTCGAGTTCCGATTAATAATGGAGCTCTGTGTGGGTAATGTATGTGATAAAAATTTGTTTTGTTTCATAAATTGATATTGTTGTCTAGGTTGTTTAACTGTGGTTGTAACTGAAGTAAATGGTCGATAATTATTTAAAACATTTTGTTGTGTATATTCGAATGATAATTGTTGAGATTTATCAAATGTATCATGTAAATCTTGTTCAATTTTGGCATATTTTAAAAATTCATTTAAGTTATATAAACATGATTCATGCCGAGAAATTTCTTTTTTAAAATCAGGATTAATACCACTCATCAGATGTTGAATGATAATTGAATCTGACATAGTTGGATCAATTTCACGACATAAATTAATGACATCATCAATATAAGCAGTAACAGGTTCATTATGTAATTGTTTTCGTTGCTTTAATTGATCAAACTTTTTATGGATCATTGTTGTTGAGAAATAACGATTTCGAAATTGGACTTCGAAATCTGACCATTTTTTAAAATTATGTTCATTGTTATCAAACCATAAGCCTGCTGATTGAGTTAATTTACCACGTACAATTTCAAGAATTTCTTTATTTTCTGATTCAGCATTGGCTTTGGTAATATTTTTAATGCATTTTAAAAATCGTTCAACATCCTCAGAAGGATGTCCTGAAAAATTTGGTAAATCATCAAATCGAGCTTTTCGAGCTTTTGCTAATAATGTTTGATCAGCCATTGTATGTGTATTAAATGTTTGATTAACAATTGAATTAGTTGTTGCAATTATATGAGATGATGAATTAGTAATAATGGTATATGGTAATAATTTTTTATTATATTTTTTAACTTGAGATCTTGTACCGGTAGCCGTGACGAAAATATATGATATTAATATAAATGATATTTTGTTTTGATGCAACTGAGAATCGTCTTTTTCGTCTTTTATTTATATATATATATGTATAGATAGATGAATAGATGAATCGAAATTCTTCTCAGAATCTCTGCTATATTATTATATTAATCTTTCTTATTTTGAAATGAATAATAACGATTTAAGTTCGTTTGGTTTACGATTTTCTTTCCCGAAAAAATCCTTAGTTGAGATAATAATTAAAAAATTTTTTTTTTTCTTTTTTTTTTTAAATCCAAAAAAAAATTTATGCAAAACTATTCCGTATAGTTGCAAATTGTTTATTAATTAGAGAGATTGTTTTATCTGATAGTAAATATCAAGTTTTCGTACCTATTGAACAATATTATTTTGAATTTAGCTTTTCTCGAGTCTTTGTTCAGTTTCAAAGGCTCTCAGTCAAAATCAATACAAGTCTCTTTCAAATAGAGGCTTTATAAAATTCAATGATAATTTAATTGATATCAATAATAATTAATTTATTTTTATTTTGTTTTTTGTAATTTCTTACGATGTTGTTTCACCAGGGTCGCCAAATGTTAGGTCTTTATGTAAGATGTTAATATGTACTGATCGAAATGTACTTAACTTTTATTCTATTTAACCAGGTTCGAATATCCTTATATATATATATCGAACAGAAAACACATATATATAAGAGAACGAAAGAAAACAAAGATAACAAATGAAAATCATAGAACGATGGAAGAGATCAAAGAGGAGGAATATACTAGAGAAATATGTATAGGTGCGACATCACCGTAACAGCATTCATCTATTTTTACATTTCTAGACTGATGTTAGAGCAATACAAGACAACTCAGATAATACTAAAGTCTTTAGAAGAATTCTTATAATTATGAAAAAAAAATGTTAGAGATGGCAGTTCGAAATCGAAAGACTTGATCTTTTATATGAAATATTTTCAATTCTACTTCATTTTATATTTTATCACGTTTTCATGATCTATTTATTGTTACAAATAGGATTGATCAGACACTAACACATTTGTCATGAAAAATTCCTAAATGTCTAACAATGATTGAATAAATGTTTGTCTTCTAAGTAAAATTCGTTTAGCAAATAAAATACAAGGCCTTTAGTGTACTTTCCATGATATTAGAAGGTAAAGTACGATCGAACCATCCGTCTTTTTTTACATTCAATACCTCTAGAATGATTCGCTCGTTTAGATTGCATTTTTTAGGATATTCTTATAATTATAATATCTATCTCTTCGGAAAACTTTGAAATGAACAATCTAATAGCATGATCAAAACTATTGACCACAAATCGTAGACTACGAAAAATGTACCCTATCGAAGTAGAAATCATGTTTGAGTTATCTATCTTACCCGGCCTTTTGTTGGATCATATACACGTTGAATTAATTTAAATACTGTACTTTCTTAAAAACAATACAAAAAGTCTTCATTATTGGATATGATCAACAATAATAGTTATCTTACTTCCACATCCGGATTCACCAATAATAGCAGTTATTTTTCCTGATGGAATAACAAGGTTAAAGTTCTTTAGAATCTATTTTTAATGGTAATATCTAAACATAGTTATTGTTGCTAAATTAAAAGTCTTACTGGAGTTTCTCGTGATTTATACACAAATTCAACATTATCAAATGTGATATCTCTTGATGTATTCAATGGTACTTCTATTTTACCTTCATTTTCTGACGCATTAATCTCTGATTTCTAAAACAAACATATTATTTTGTTTTACTTTCGTTTAATTCGAGATGTAGAAAATTTGTTCTTCCTACTCTTTCAATGATATTAAAAATGAAATGCAGAGATATAGAAGTGTCAATCATGCTTTGAATTATTGGTTGTAATTTCGTTAAACCAAATGTTGACATTAAACAAGTAACAAAAACCTAATATTTAAAATATTATCTTTCAAAAATTAGAGAAAACAGTTTTGAAATACATACGACTATGACAGTTCCAGCATTGTAGTTTCTACATTCCGTTCGAACAAACTCGAGACCAGACCTATATACAAATAAAAGGTTTGTACTTAAATCTGTTTTATTATAGAAACAACTACTGCTTTCGGCAACTACAATCTGTTCAACTTCGACATATATCAAACCAATTTCATATAAGTCAAATTCACATTTTATATTTTGATTAATAAAAAAACGATCTAAAAACCAACAATGAAAACGTCTCCTGGTTGTTTTGTTCTCATGTAGGTGTACGCATTATTTTGAAGACAAACTTAATGTTCATATCTTTTTCTTAACATTAGTGGCATGCTATGAAACTAATGAGGAATAAGTCAGGAATTAATCAATTACTTTTGGGTTGAGACTATATGCATAATGTGGTTATACATGAGCTATGCATATCGTGAAAAAAGTTCGGATCGCTAATCCATTTTTATGAAAATACTAAACTTTTACAATGAACTTTTAAAATGAATGTCGTTATTCTTCTGAGAAATATCAGACAACATGATTTTCAGATTTTTGCCTGAAATTTTATACAGAACAAAATCTTTTTAAGCATAGTATTTTTGAAAGTTTCAGATTTTTTTGTTGATATTCCTATCCATAGTTGTAACTGTGATAACTTCGTTCGAATACGTTAAATAATCTGATGTTCTCTTTTCAAGATTAGATTAAATGAAAGCATTTGAAACTTTCATGAAATATAATGGTCAATAACATCTGTTCCAGTATAGGATTTCAGATATAAATTCAAAAATGTTTTTTTTTCTGATGTTTCTGAGTGGAACCACAGCACTCATTAAAAACTCACAGTAAAAGTTCAGTATTCTCTTAATAATGAGCTTGCTACCCAAAATCTTTTACGATATTCATGTGTCATTTTTATGCTTTTTTTTCTTATTCACTTTAATAGCTGAAATCGTTCTCACATCAATTGAGAATCTACATTTTACAAAATTACCATTCGAAATTTCTGCAGAAAAGCCTAGCATATTGTCAGTAATTGCACGGTATGTTATTCTTCTCTAACGATATTTTTCTAATATAAGACACGTTTGAATGAGTCACCTTAAGGCTAAAATATTACAATGATTGATCATGTCTACTAAGAATTTTTCTAAGTGTCTTATAGTTTTAGTATGTCTTATATTTAAATTATATGGATCAGTAATTGAATGCATGATTGATGGTGATGAATAATAGTTCAATCATTCTCATTATTGATATAAAAAGAAAACAAAATCATGAGCTTACATACCAAAAAATTATTGCAAATGATGCATACAATACTATATTGATAAATGCTTGACAGATGCCAGTATAAAGACCTTTCCTGATTGCAGCTTTTTTGCCTTGTACCAAAAACTGTTCATATCTAAAATTATTCAATTATTATTTTCAAATAAATGTTAATTCATTAAAAAATTAAATTCAAATTTGATATTATTTTCTTCAAGTACAAAATATAGTTTTATTTTCGATATAGTTTTCACGGTTGATCAACTTACTTCTTGAGTTCTTTTTGTTGTCCACCATAGGCTGTAACAGTTTTTATTGCAGTTAAACTTTCTTTTACAATAGCATTGGAGCTGGTAGATGCAGTTTTTTCTCTAGCTGTATATGCAGTTCCTATCTGAAATAAATCAATCATTTTAATTGAATAGAATCGAAATATTACTATCTATTTGAATTACTTGTCTTGTAATGATAAAAGCAGCTACAATAATAGGCGTCGTACTTAGAAAAACTAATGTTAATTTCCAACCTAAACAATCAATTATTGATGAAAAACAAAATCTTCTAACTAATGATTATTCACATACCAACATAAAATGAGAATGTAAGACTACCAAGAGAATTAGCAGTTGTGCATAATAAATCAACAATATTCAAGCCAATACCTTCACGAATATTATTCAAGTCTCTTAAAAAAAGATATAGATATTGCATTCATAGGCATATATAAAATAAGAATCATTATTGTACTTACTCAATAAAATGATTCACTAGTTCACCTGGTTTCAATGTTTCAAACCAGCTTAGTTCTTGATACATGATACTTCGGAACAGAGCAAATCTAAAAAAAAACATATACAGTGGCCGTCAAAATTGACCAACCACCTAAGGAAAAAAAAATG